GACGACCAGATCAACAACCAACCAAAAAATGCCACATTTCATATGTGACAATCTAATATTTTTATATACTAAGGAGGTTACCTCATTAGACGACCAGTTCAACAACCAACCAAAAAAATGACATATTTCAAATGTGACAACCTAATATTTTTATATACTAAGGAGGTTACCTCATTAGACGACCAGATCAACAACCAACCAAAAAATGACATATTTCATATGTGACAACCTAATATTTTTATATACTAAGGAGGTTACCTCATTAGACGACCAGATCAACAACCAACCAAAAAATGCCATATTTCATATGTGACAACCTAATATTTTTATATACTAAGGAGGTTGCTTCATTAGACGACCAGATCAACAACCAACCAAAAAATGCCATATTTCATATGTGACAACCTAATATTTTTATATACTAAGGAGGCTACTTCATTAGACGACCAGATCAACAACCAACCAAAAAATGCCATATTTCATATGTGACAACCTAATATTTTTATATACTAAGGAGGTTGCTTCATTAGACGACCAGATCAACAACCAACCAAAAATGCCATATTTCATATGTGACAACCTAATATTTTTTTATACTAAGGAGGCTACTTCATTAGACGACCAGATCAACAACCAACCAAAAAATGCCATATTTCATATGTGACAACCTAATATTTTTATATACTAAGGAGGTTGCTTCATTAGACGACCAGATCAACAACCAACCAAAAAATGCCATATTTCATATGTGACAACCTAATATTTTGAACATTGTGCTTGTTATGGTGGTCTTCAGAGAGGTTATAGGGCCTTGATTGACGCCCCTCTCGATTATACCACATACATAGTAGTCTTAGAGAATCTTGAAAACTAGGTGGAAATATGTTTGGTGTGATGTGATCGGGGAGATTATAACTCATCCATTCTTGGATTGTCTCCCTTTTTGAGAGGGAGAAAAGTCATGTTGGTAGATATACATTCTTTCTTTACTCATTCTCTCTAATGATTAACAAACATTTGCAACAGCTCCTTAACGTCATCAGCATTGATTCTTAAGCCTTAAGGAAAAGAATGAGGAGGTATAACACCTCCATCTTTTTTCAAGACTTCCAGAACCATTACAACTGCCGAAAACATTGTATGCTTGACCTTTGCAATGTCCTTATGGTATCTGCATAACCAACTGTCATTCTTTCGTTTCGCTCTTTGATCCTGATCGAAGTTTTTCTAATCAAAGAACAACCAAAGCATTCCAAGCTCTTGACTTTTCAATTTACTCAACAAGCGCTTTGCGATGATCCGATAATTATCTTTGTAGACAAGAATGAATATGATGTGATGGAATAAACTGACACCCCCATGAGTGGCGGCACTATAGGTAGTAACCATCTATAATTATCTGTGAGGACAGCGGGCGGGAGAGTCGAGCTGGGATCTTTCCCAGCTGCGCTAGTCGAACTCTCTGCCTTCCGGACGAGGCTATGCCGAAGGGCAGAGTTTCGTCCGGGGCGGTAGACAGACCCGATCCCGTTTATGCGGGGTCTACGGGAATTTTTTGGCCGAGCCTACGAGCTCGGGGACCCCACTTCAAATTCGACCTTGTGCCACATGTCACCATGTCACTGCGTGGGGCAGTTACTAAATAGCATCAAGCTGGGATCTTTCCCCAGCTCTACTGGTCGAACTCTCTGCCTTCGGGCAGAGAGGAACCCGGACGAGGCTATGCCGAAGGGCAGAGTCTCGTCCGGGGAGGTAGACAGACCCGATCCCGTTTATGCGGGGTCTACGGGAATTTTTTTGCCGAGCCTACGGGCTCGGGAACCCCACATTAAATTCGACCTTGTGCTACATGTGACTGCGTGGGTCAGTTGCTAAATAGCGTCGAGCTGGGATCTACAAGACTAGCGGCCTTCCGATAGCAGCACGCACACAATTGTACTGACTTCCGACAACCGTGCGCGTAACTGTTACTTCCTTGCTTGGTGTACTAGTTTCTACAATAAACCTATTACTATTTATCCACCTTGTTTGTCCATTCTATATTCCTATTAGCACGGAATCTAACAGAATATGACGAAGGTCCTGACGCATAATTCTTCCAATAGAGGCTCTTCAAACCGTCAGCTACTTGGAGTACTTATCGATAATTTTATGCATCATTCATACAAATTTGGGTTTTATCTTTATGTTAGGACACTTAGCACGTGTTTTATGTTTGTCTACTGTTATAGAATCTCCGTCAGAGTCTTCCAGGTCTTTGTGAACTCTGACAACAAGTGACCGTGCAACTTTCAGGAAGCGGCAATCTCTAAATCACTATGCTCTGCTTTTAAGGCAGGGTTTAAAGCGTGCCCTATTTGCTGAGTGAGCTTGATATTTTTCATGTTGACACAAAAGCTGTGATGCCAGCTTTCACACAGCAAGTGTTACCCATTTTTCAAGGAGATGATTAAAAATATCCACCCAGTGACTATCGCAAAATGAGTCCCAATCAACGAAGAAAGATATTCTGTTAATAGAGGTTTCTTTCCTGATGGGAGGGCGGAAAGAAATACCTATAAACACTGCAGCGGGGACAGATATGCTTAAAGGACAGAATACGATATGATTCTGGGGTGTGTGTGGAGGGGGGAGGTAAGGAAAATATCAAGTAGAGAAGCGTGTCCGTCAGAGTTATTATGGAGACGCGTGGGGAAAACTATTATTTGAGTGTGAAATTCAGTACCTGAGTTCAAAATCTGGAAACCAGAGAGATTAGTGGTGTTAGTGATGAAGCCCTTTGAGATGATGGGCATTGATGTCACCAAACATCAAGATATTTTCAGACGAGGGCCTTATCTATACTCTCAGAAATCACAATCAATAATAGGAGAAAAGGGAGTGATAAGAAAGAGGAGATAACTGACTGACTTTAACAATAAATGTCAAATGTTTGTTGGTCTGTTTAGCGGCATATCAACACCTTATGGGTCATTTAATGCAGACATTTAATTTCCTTGGGAGAATTATTAATTTCTTTTGCAAAAATGCTTTACCTGTAATTCTTTTAAAAAAAATTGCATCTGTGGTAATTTTTATTTATTTTTTTATTTTTTACAAAAATTTATTGCTGGTAAATTTTTTTACGATTAAAATGTATTTTTGGTATTTTTACTATAAAAATGTTTATACTTCCATAAGGTTTTGACCCCATTCTTATAGTTAACTATTTGCTCATACCTGGGATGCTAACAGGTGCTACTACCCTGGGTAAGGGTGTACCTGGAAACAACAGCAATTAAGAGGTTGTTTCACGCTCCTCAAAATGCACCGATCACAGGTTTTGCTGCCGGATGTAGTCTATCGTCATACCCAGGACGTTGAAGTACGCGAAAAAAAAATCCGCGAACTCAAAAAACAGTTTCCTTGCCAGTGAGAGATGCTCATGAACATACACACCAAGGCCCTGCGTGTAGACACTAGAGTTCTATTGAAAGAGAGAAAGATAGCCAGAAACAGATAATTCAGTAGACGAGATTGAAGGCTTTAGATCCATTTTATAGGGATCTAGGATGTATGGAGAATGTTTCAAGAGAAATTACTATGCACTGCAGAAATTGCTATAAATGTCACGAAGAAAGCTTGTTTAGTCTTATTTTGTTTATTTGTTTCGGTCAATATATGTTTTTAAAGGTGGAAAATGACAAGAATAATAGTATTTGCCGGTCGTTAAAAGCAGCATGTGCTGACGGGAAATTGATGCAGACTGCAGCATCGTGTGGTATCAAGGTTTCCCCACCGGAAGTGCTTATACAGGAATGCGCCGCATTGTACTGCAAGAACCCTGATATTATGCGACTGTTTTTCAGATCAGCCTCTCTTGACGTTACCTAAGAGTTCAGGCAGGTTACTACCAGTTGGTCGTTGGTACACGTGTTTGAGTAGACATCTCTTTTTTTCGTAGTGTAATTACTGTGTGCCGGAAGATCAACAATTTCTACTAAAGAATATGTGTTTTCCCAAAATGAATTCAAAGTGTATCCGTTTTTTTTCTTCTTTTTTTTTTTACACGAGATAAATCACGTTCAATTAAAGTACACCTTAACCAATTCGGCTATGAAAATCATGGCAAAAACGTTCAATTCGCATATTTAAGAAATACACAGCGTATGTATATTTCCTGTCACGAGGCATAGTTTTTTTTGTTTTTTTTTGTTTTTTTGCTCCACAAGCTTTAGACCAAATGGCATTAAATCACTGTTCAAAAAAGAAATGTCTACTCAGTAATAACTTTTACAGTAATAAGAAATAATGTCGAATGAAAAGTTCATTAATTGCTTACAAACGAAGTATTATATCCATCCATAATTACGCACCTACTCTTACTCTCTTTCTCTCTCTTTTCTCCTCGTATATATATATATATATATATATATATATATATATATATATATATATATATATATAAGAAATATAGCTTTAAGGTGTGCTATATTTATTAGATAAAGTGCTCAATATCAGAGACAGAGCGTATGTAAATATAAAAATTCAGTGTTCACACACACACACATATATATATATATGTGTGTGTGTGTGTGTGTGCGCGCGCACTCGTGTTCGTGTATATGTGTGTGTGTCTGTGTGTCTTTCGGTCTTTTCTTTTTCTTTCTCTTTCTCTTTCCGGTGCTCAAACAGTACAACGCGATAATGATAATGGTTCCTTTCACTGGGAGTTTGATATGTGCTCTGGAGTGGCTATATTCCTGACAGGCACTGCTTCCCACACACTTGACACGGGTCAGGAGCTGCGTTGAATCGCTTCCTATATCACGGTCTTGTTTCGCTGTCTTCTGCTTTATTCGTAACATATCTCGTAATGGTTTTCCCCTGTGTAAGGTGTAGGGACAATATATCACCTGATGCTAGGTTAATGACAGCGGCCTGGTGTATCTTTTCAGAAGGTATTTTCATTTTTAGGGATGGATGGATAAATATAAAATTACGATATATAGATAATAAACGTGAAATGATAGATAGATAGATAGATAGATAGATATTTAACATATAGATAAACATATACTCTGCTATTTAATAGATAGATAGATAGATAGATAGATAGATAGATAGATATGAATAGAGATAGATAGATAGATATGAATAGAGATAGATAGATAGATAGATATGAATAGATATAGATAGATAGATAGATATGAATAGATATGAATAGATAGATAGATAGATATTTAACAAACAGATAGACAAGCATATACTCTGCTATTTAATAGATAGATAGATAGATAGATATGAATAGATAGATAGATAGATAGATAGATATTTAACAAACAGATAGACAAGCATATACTCTGCTATTTAATAGATAGATAGATAGATATGACAAGACAGTAGATAGATATGAATAGATAGATAGATAGATAGATAGATAGATAGATAGATAGATAGTTCGAGAGATGGATGGATACATGAATGCAAGAAATATTTTACCTAGACAAGATTGTTTAGAGACACAGTCACCCGGCGCATATATTTTATAATGATATATATATGTGGGTGTGTGTGTGTTTGTATGTGTGTGTTTGTGTGTGTGTGTGTGTGTGTGTGTGTGTGTGTATGTGTGTATGCGCGCGCTCGAGTGTGTGTTCAAAGAAGAAATTACTCTGTATTTTATTGTATACTTACATACATTTCCAGTTTTGTCTTTTCTTTTAAAGTAAATTTTGGTCTGACCATTCAAATCTCGTCATATGTTTTCGGGTGTGTCAATTCTGCCACTTCAAAATCACTTCCTTTTTGTGCATTAGATTCTGATTTTTCTTTCCGTGTCTTGAAATTTCCGTCGGCGTTCTTGCTGACGTCATTGCCCAAAACATCACGCTGATGACGTCGATTATATAGTATTTCTTTGCTTTCTTCACTGTATTTTGCAATATATGCGATGCGTGTAAAAAAAAAAAAAAAAAAAGACTGGCGAATAATTTTACTTATCTTTTACTTAGCTTTTCAATGTTAATTATCTTAATATTTCCACTTATGATTTAGCAATTTTTAAAAATACTTTCACTTAAAATATGAAGCCTGTCTTATTTCAACTTGTAACAGTTAAATATCAGTCTATATTTCTGAGATAAGGTATTATTATACACTATTTACATTATTCGGACTATTGTCCTCATCTCTGTTGCCATATTCATACACAGATACCCTTAAGGACTCATGGTACAGTGGATAAAGGCGTTGGTTAGATCCAGTGACAGGACCCAAAAAGTTGTGAGTTCAATACCTGGTTAAGGCAGTGGAGAACTTGGAGAGGTGAATTAACAGGAGATAATTAATAACTGACATCCATTAGACATGGCACGTGGAACTAGAACAGTCTACCCCAGCGAACGAAATAAAGGGTTCAGTTCGACATTCCAACCACCTGAAGAAGGCCAGAGTCTACAACGGCCGAAACCTTGTGAGGAATATGGCAACAAACATTAGGACAATAGTCCGAATAATGTAAATAGTGTTGTAACAGTTAGCTGACTGGTACAATGACGTCAGACATGAAAGTGTACGTAAAGCAGATATGTGTTTCATTTAATTCCTCCACTGCTGAATGTTTATGGGGACCAAAAATGGATGTGAACACAGGCTGTGCATAATGCGATTTCAGTTGTTGCGATAGAGATTTCCAGGACAGCTGTCAGCACACGAAATGAACTGCGTCTCAAAAATGCATGGCTGATGGTGGCGAGATGTCAGAAAAATGGCATTTCGTCTTTGAAAATTTATCCCTGTTCAACGGTGTTGTAGTGCTTTTTATAGCTGTTGTAATCTATGTGAAAATGCACACGACGTAGTATTTTCGGAGCAGTCATCGTATTTGTGAGCAGGGCAAAGGTGATATGCCGTTGATGCATAACACGGTTGACACACGTCATATCACTCAAAGCTGCTGGTGTCCAGAAGTGTCCATTCTGTCCAGGCCTATTGAAATGTGCGGAGAGATGCGCTGACATTATCATCCGGGTGAATTATAGCTGAACGCTAACGATTATTTAAGGTCTAACTAGAATTAATGCGAAGAAACTGACAGTTATTGCTCAGGCTTGGTGAGCAGAAGTAGGTATCGAGAAGAACTAAATGCATAGCTGGATAATAATGAAGAGTACAACAGTTTGTAATGAAGCTGAAATATAAAAATAAAACAGTGAGCGTTTTACTACAAAAGCAAAACCTTTGATTTCTTCTTTTGATGACCATCGTTTTTCTTGCTGCATTTTATTTTTTTCGGAACGTATTGACATTCTTAGACGATTTCCTTACACTAAGTCTGCACAAAATATGCCCCGCAGGCCGCATAGCGCTCGGAAGGCAATCCAGTTAAAAGCTAAGGAAAGTATTTAATAAATGGGAAAATTTCGTCAAAAACGAAAAACGACTTATCAAACCTTTGAAGATTATTTAAAGCTAGAAAATATTTTTTTAGATTATAATAATATTTTAATGATATAAGTCTCACTAATTGTTGTAGAGTAGTTTTCACAGTGGAGACTTGTATTTCCCTAAGTCGGTCCTAAATTAGGTTCGACGTAAAAAACGTTAGAAACTTGCAATAATAGTTAATGACGCAGCAATCTAGGTGTGTGGCTCATACTTTAATGTCCGACATCGACTGACTCACACAACTCACTGAGCTCTACTGACGACTGCTACTACTACTACTTATCTGTGGGAGAGTCTATTCACAATAGAATAGGTACGTTCCGGTATAACACTAATTAATCGAATTAGCTGGGGGCGGGGAGATGTAGATTCATATCTTTCCCAAGGGTATTTGCGCGTAAGTTAAATATAACGAACACAACTGGAAGTGGAACTTGATTCTCCGATTTCCAAATCCGAGCGATTATTCATTACACAACATGCGTATTTAAGCTTACAAAACCTGGTATTCCAAAGTGTTCGCCCATGTAGGTATTGAACAGGCTCGACGTTTTAGCTTCATTGATCATAGGGGAAGCGGTATTTCAAAGTAAAGAAGAGAAACGAAGAGTATTTAACTGTTATGTAATACCGGCTCTCTATTATGGGATTTTCTATTTCTTTCTCGTCGCTATTTTTTTTCTTTTCTCTTTAATAATTAATCATCTTTCTTTTCTCACTCATTCTCTTTTCTTTTAACATCTTTTCATTAATACCTTTCTTTTTCTTTTCATTCCACTTTTTAAATCCATCATTTTTTACATTGTCTTACGATATTTTACGATGCCTTACGATATTTTACGATGATTTACGATATTTCGCTTCTCACTTTAAAAAATATCTAATGAAAATTAATCATATTTTTTAAATTTTGCTAGAAGTATAAAAAATGTAAATATCTAGGAAATGTTTTAACAGGGGACGGAAAATATGCGACACCGATATCCGAAGGTGCATTGTGATAGCGAGAGATAACTTCCAATTTACAAACAGTAAAAAAAAAAATTAGAAAGTCAAAGGATGTGTCTTCTCAAACGTTTACCGTGAAGCAATCCTGCGAGAATTAAAAGTCCTGTCGGGATTCATTATTGCTGACCACAATCTTAACAATATTCGATATACAGATAACACAGTGTTGATAGCAGAGACAGAAAGCGAACTACTGTAATTAGAAACAGTAGAAAAGGAAAGCGAGATGAAAGGACTAAACATCAATTGTGAGAAGATCCAATCTATGGTTGTCAACAAAAGAAACAGCCCAACATGTAAATTACAAACTAGAGATAGCAAAATTAAACAAGCCCAAAAATGTAATTATCTAGAAGGTGTTTTCACAAATAATATGTGGCACCGAATTCCGAAGGCGTATTGTGAATACAAAAGATGCTTTCCAAAAACTGAGCAGAATATCAAGAAACAGGTTATTTTCATTAGAAACTTAGAAAACAATACTGAATTGTTATTTAATATCGGCCCTTCTATATAGCAGTGAATGAAAGACCATCTCTGCACAGATGAAGAAGAGACAAGGCGATAGAAATGTGGTTCTACAGAAGGATGCTGAGAATACTATAGACTGAACATGTGAGCCACGACGAAGTTCTAGAGAAAATGGAATCAGAAAGGACATTTATAATTAACATTCGAAACAGACAGTTGAAATCATGAGGAAAGAGGGCTTGGAAAATTTGACACTCACAGTTTAAGAGAAGACAAGAGAGAAAACAACATATAATCAAGCTAAAGAGCTTTTGTAAACGGACGGCAGAACAGGGTTTAGGAGAGATAGTAAAAAGACATTATTTACTAAGAGTTACAAAGGACAGGGCATTGGGGAGAGCCATGATCACCAACGTCCTGAAGGGGCAAGGCACATAGAAAAAGAAGAAGATTTTGTTTGCATTCATCAGAATGAATTCGGTGACTGACTGCGTACGAGGAAGTACGTTTTCTGGAAACCGGACTTCATTCAACCAATATTTCATTGTTGTTGTATTTAATTATTATTATTTTATTTAACTCTCCGTAGAAGCAGAAGAAAGAATTCTCATTCTCTCTCTCTCTCTCTCTCTCTCTCTCTCACTCACTCACTCACTCACTCACTCACACACACAATTACACTCACACATACACGCACACACACACACACGCATACACACAAATACGCACATATATTTCCCTTGGTTTTGTGTATATAAATCAAATGTGAAACTAACGTTTAAGTAAATGCAAATCAAAATCTCTCTGTCTCTGTCTCTTTCCCTTTCTCTTTCTCTCTTTCCATCTCTTTCTCTCTCTCTCTCTCTCACACACACACACACACACACACACACACACACAATTACACACAAATACGCACATATATTTCCCTTGGTTTTGTGTATATAAATCAAATGTGAAACTAACATTTAAGTAAATGCAAATCAAAACCTCTCTCTCTTTCCCCCCGCCTCTCTCTCTTTCCCCCCGCCTCTCTCTCACTCTGTCTCTGTTTACATCTCACACACACTCAGTCAGTTACAAATCTACTCTGGTGGGCCGAGGTTATTTTTTTACAATTAATATGAACCTTCTACTTTTAATTTCACAGGCTTGCATTACACTAATTCTAAAAAGTGGACAATGAGGAAAAAAAAAGAGAGCAGTTGAGGGTCAGTTAGAAAAAGTAGCGTAATCTCGAAGACTGTTGTTAGTATTATTATGAAGTGTGTTTTCCTTCGTATTTTATCGGTCTAGCGCCAGTCGTTTGTCTCGCATAAAGGGAGCCTGAATTTTCCAATGCGCTCACGTCCCTACCGAATGTAATACACGGTCAGTTTAAAGTGAGTTTAACGGCAAAAACGCAGAAAATTCTCAAGCACCCTGGAAATGTCCCATTTTGAGAACGCCTCAGATCCCGGGAAATAAGCCAGTTCCTTTCAGAAGGAGAGGGTACTAACTGGGGGTGAGAGGAGTGGGGCTTGAGCGAATATTATTGGAACAATTATTGATTGG